ATTAACATCTCATTATATTTTACATCGTAAAAACAAATTACTCGTAATAATCTCAGTACAGAGGACTAAAAAAACCGACGTCAAAAGTTCGTGGAATTATGTCCATTTGCCAAGTTTTATTGAAATCAGTTACCGGAAAGTGCGCGAAACCGGATCCATTCCCTAGTTTGCCACCCTTAGAGGTGGAATATTTTTATCAGATTTAAATGGGACTACTACCGAGGTACCCTCCTTCCAACAAAACAAGAATCGTCAAAATCGGTTCACAAATGAGTTATCGTGTAACATGCATAAAAAACACAGTTGAGAACCTCCTCCTTTTTTGAAGTCGCTTAAAATAATAATAAACAGTTTATGCGAAGAATATATTTGAATAAGCGAAAAAAGTTTTGGTTCCCGCATCTAATTGACTGCGAGCATTTCGTTTATACAAGCCACCAAAATTATTTTATTTTTGCTAACGTTGTTTGTTTTTTTATTATACCAAAGAAGTGCGCCTAGTGGTAAGCGACACGCCTGTCCATAGCGGTTGCAGTGCCATTCAGTACTTTAGATCACAAAGATCTGAGGGGCACTGCCATTGCGCCCGTCACCCTGTGACATATTGACAAGTTGACAAGTGCCATGTATCTGCGGTTGCCCCAACACCCTTACCCTTCAGAACCGAAATGCGCAACGTTCACATTACTGCTTGGCGGCAAAAATAGGTAATGATATTACCAGCGCTTAAATATGGTAGATTTTTTTATTACAGCTCATAAGATTATTGCTATCAATTATCTACAAAGCAATTAATTAAAGACGAAAATAAATTTGATCATTATCATTATGATTTCGGATTTTGCACAAATTTCGTATCGAAAAATTTACAGCCCAACAGTATAATTGTGCATCAAATACACAAGTACAAAAGACAGAAAAAATTGTTACACAATGTTGAATATTTACAAAGACAGTTAGAAAGGCAAGTACATATAAGTCACATCAATGAAAAATAATTAAAAAGGTGCCAAAAACGAACAGAAATAAATTCGAAACGTATAAAACAGGTAATCAGGTAAAGTAGGTATTAATAGCAGTAGAGCTCCTAATGAAAGAGTTCATCCAGGAAAGCTGCCACCTTACCTATTTGTGCCACCAAGCTGTAATGTCAGCATTACTGTGTTCTGATTTTGAGAGGTGAGGGTGCTGGTGAAATTACAGTCAGATGGGACTTGTCAACTGATGTCTCAGGGTGACAGAGACACCACAGATATTTGCAATTAAAAGCTCTGAGCGACACTGCACCTGGTATGGACAGGCGTGTATAGCTTACCACCGGCCACACGACTTGTTCGTCCCTTCACTTGATATTATAAAAATTAAAAAAAAACGGTAAAACTAAAAAGGTAAAAATATTTGTAGTGGCATAAGCCGCTACATCGGATATTAGTTTATTGTATTTAGTCCATCAAATTCGGTGTCATTGTCGCAGTGATTACTCGAAGAAACAATTATAATGACGAACACACTCAACAAAGCCCCGCACTAGGGAAATCCTGTGTCGCTGGTGCCATGGACACCACATAGACAACCACAAATTACATCCAAAGTCACGAGAGAAATACATGTAGGCCATACGAATATTTCTTCCGCCCTGGGAATCGAACCTGGGACCTCTGCGTCGCAGTCCGGCATGGTGACCGTTCAGCCACGAGGTAGTTAAAGAAATGTATAAGCAAAGCTTGCGACCAGAATCGAGTAATTTTATCTACGCGAAACGCGTTATTGTTTTAACTTTGCTGGTCTCTCTATGGCAAATCTTGTAGCTCTTATGACCGTGCTTTTGCGGTTTGGCAGTTATGCCCTACTTGTAGTTTCAAACAAGTAGTAATATTTTGTTTTGAGAACTGTTTCCAGGTCAACAAACAGACATAACAGACTTATGGAATATTGTGAACATTTTCATTCTAACCGCAAAATGTTTGTTAAAAATAATATATGCTCCACTCCATTTTCACATAATAATTCGAAGCTGATTACAGGGTTTTCTGAAAAAGATGGCAACCTCGAGAGCATCAGAAGTGAACCATATTATAATCGGAAAACGCAAGGCATATAAACATAATTTCTTACATTAAACGTAGCCACATTTATAGTTCACAAGTTCACTGTTTTATGAATATTACTCCATTGTTGCTTAAGAAGTACAGAATCGAATGTGTGCTTAATTTTTAGGAGTTCAATCCCTTGGTTACAATATAGAGCATCGCCATTCATTACCTCGTACGTACTTTTTTAGCGTGCACAGCCTACAATTTATCGCAATTAATAGTATACTTCCCTAATATATAATAACTTCAGTGTACAAGATACAAAAAGCTCATGCGGGATCCTTGTTACTTTTTCTTTTTGTTATAATATCAAGTGACGGGACAAACAAGTCGTGCGCCTGATAGTAAGCCACACGCCTTTCCGTAACAGTTGCAGTGCCATTCAGAGCTTTAAATCGCAAAGATCTGAGGGGCACTACCACTGCGAGACATAAGTTGACAAGTCCCACGTGCCTGTAATTTCACTAGCACCCTTACCCTTCAAAACCGAGAAACAGTAATGCTGACATTACTGCTTGGCGGCAGAAATAGGTAAAATGGCAATACTTCCCTGGACGAACTCTTTCTCAAGGAAGTAGAGCTCCTTGAGAAAGAGTTCGTCCAGGCTACTAAAATCTTCTATGTTAAGCAAATTTTGTGCTATTCATTTTATTCAATGCCTTTATATTAATATATAAAGGCCTAATTCAAAATCTGGCCTCTTTTTAATGCATGTCCAATATTTAAAACCAAACAACATTTTATTATGGGGACTCTGGTTAATCGCAAATAAAAAATCGACAGTTGGAACTAAATGTATGAAACAAACAATTATTTTGCTGTTTCACACGGGTCTTATATTTTTATTACAATTCGCACCCTTAGTGTAATAAGGCCACATCTATAAAATAATAGTTTTTTAGGAGAGAAGTTTGAAAATTTCACGAACGAAATTAGTCGATAACTCTTTTATGCTTAAATAGAAGAGTTACATAATATCACATATACCTAGATAATTTGTTTGATATCGACCCTGGAAAACTATAACATCTATCGTGCATTTGGAAAATGTTACAGGAAAGCGTAGGTCAATGCAGGAAAGCGTTAAATCGCTCTCCTATATGGAAAACTAGAAAGTTTCAGTTTTTCCATACAACAAATCAAATTAGTCATTTTTTTCTTAAAAAAACACGTTAAATCGCGCTACTGTATAGTATTTTCAAAATACACGTCATTTATTTTATCTTTCCAGTGTCGATATAGTTCGTATTACTTTTATAACTTTGATGTGACAAAAGCACTTTCGACGTATGATCACAAGTGGCTTTATTATACCAAGGGTAAGAACTATATTATCCATCCACAAGTTGTTTGGTTTCATATTTAACTGCCTCTGTGGCCGAACGGTTACCATGCCGGACTGTCACGCAGAGGTTCGATTCCCGGGCCGGGAGAAACATTTGTATGGCCTACATTTATTTCTCTCGTGAGTCCATGAGTCCATGACAACCGCGACACAGGGTTTCCCTAGTGCGGGGCTAAGTTGAGTGTGTGTGTTGTTATTATTATTATTATATACTACAAATATTCTTACAGGGATGTCAGCCAATTAGGTTGTCTTCTCGAGATTTCTCGACTTGGGAAATCCCGGGAAATCTAGCCAACTTCGAAACGAGAAAAATATCATCGAGAAATCAAGAAATCAAATTACATTTTTAAATTACTGAAAAATTTACTTATAAATCTTTGCAGACAATGGAAAAGTCCAAGGTTTGGAAATATTTTAAGATGAACAAAGATTCTTTAAACGCTCAATGCATTATATGTCCTAAACATATCACTAAAAGGCTCGAGCACAAGTGGTTTAGTTAGACACGTGTTACATATTCACATTTCTTTGAATGCATCAGAAGATACAGAGGCATCAACTTTTTGTGGTATGAGGTCTTTTTGTTCATTCGTTTTGTATTTTTTTCATAAAACACGTTATTGTTTGTAATAATGATTTATTTGTATGTGATTTGTTTTATTTTGTTCAGTTGATTGTAATGGCTAAATGTTATTATTTATAAATGTTCCCAAAAATTATATGGTTAAGTCTGGTTGATTTAATAATAATAACGTTCATCTTATAAATAAATAAAACGTGTTGATTTTGTTATAAATTGTGTTTCTTTTTATTTGTATTTATAGTTGACTAAGTAGATTTTTTAACGTTTTAAAAAAATTCTCGAACAACTCGAGAAACCCGGGAAATCGGGCTCGGGAATTCCCGAAGCTCGAGAAAAAAAATATGTTGAGAAATCAGAAACCCTACAGTTAATATCAGGATCCCTTAAAGTAGAGCATATACAGCAGGTGTTTCATGATACGTACGTAAATTATGTAATTACATAAACAAGTTTACTTACAAAAGACTATTAAAAATAACAAACAACAAAAATTTATTTATATTTTCAAATAACATTGTGTATGTTTTCTACATTTATTTAGCAGTATGTTTTATTTTTACTTTCAACCACGTACTGTTATTATCAGCATTTAAGGAAGATTTTGTTATAATTATATTTTATCACAAATGATGAACGTCAAGAGAATGCAATTATTTTTTTTATTTAATAGCATCACTTTAATACACCAAATGTAAACTGATAATCTTTATGCCAAAAGAAATAATTTAAACGAGCTTATATATCTGATAAATAATATATATTTTAGTAACATGTCATAACCTAAAAAACATTACTTCGTTGAAAATTATTAAGTACCTTGTGGTTAAACTTAGAGTTTATCTCAATTAGAAACAGCTCGAATTCTTGTTTGAATCCTAGTGAGCAGTCGACTTTAAACGCTCGCTAACCGAGTCAACTAGAATAAGATGTCAGGAAACGCAAACTTGTTATATCGCTACAAATAAAACCAACTTACCTCCTTATCAAGACTGAATGAGATAAAATCAAACGCAAAGCACGGCAAATAAATGTCCTTGGTATCCTATAACCACCACAAATCACAGGATTTTGTTACAATTTTTTTCACGAGCTACCATTGCAAGATATATCAACTGATTGCAAGTTCGCGAATCAACAATTTCGTACGTTGTATCGATGCCAAAATTTCGCTAACGGCAAAACACTCGCGCGCATAAGAAACACTGTTTCTTTTTCATCAATAATCACATATGTCCCCTCAACAGTTTGTGTCACGTCCGGTATCGTCCTGATGCACGAATGAATTTTGTATCGAGTGCGACTTTGTATTCACTCGCCGGCTAAACTCTCTTTGCTGATTGTGATGCACGTCGCGTCCTCTGCCTTACGCATTGTGTGACAATGCGCGCCTAGGGGTGGTGGGACCTCCTTATTCATGGTTCGCCTAGGCTCTCATAACTATAGCGTTCATTAGAATGTGGTACGTCGCGGGCGGTGGCACAGCGGGACCGGTACGGAATGGAGGCACAGGCGGTGTAATCGGCCAACGTCGCCTTACCAGTTGGCCACTGGGTTAGCGGTGTTCTTTTTCCTGCTTATGGGGTACAAGTGCTTGCACCTCCGCTGACTCACACTAACAATCTTTATTACGACCGCAAATAGGGTTAAGTGATGAACTTAACAAATTTTTAATCGGTTACAAATTAGTACAGATACAAACGATGAAATTCGTAATTATTACGTAACAAAAGGAAAGCGAAATTTTTATTAAGTAATCGACGAAAATCATGTGCATGTCATCGTCTGATACGTCAATGCTCTAGAGACACCAACTATCATTGAATGGGCTTTTTGTGATGGCATTAAAGATAAGAATATAACTGGGTTGGAACACGTCGTGAGGAACCAAACGTGTTTCGTAAATTTTTTAAGTACTCCTAAACCACACAATGGTAAACAATGAAGTCTTTCTTTTATTATGGAAAAATGATCATATTATAATGTGTACCTATATGATATTTTGCTCAACAAAAATTGCCCCTCGATGTGTGCTGCAATCCTATGATATTTTAAAGTCTTTGTGTTAAGGTAGAGTTATAAAAAAATATTACTAATACTGTTTACTAACACTTTACAAGGTCTGTTTTTAACCAACTTCAAAAAAGGAGGTTCTCAATTCGACTGCATTTTTTGTGTGTAAGCCGATTTAAATGATCCTTTTTTTATTATTAGAAATCTTTTTTATTATTAGGAACCTCACTAGTGGTCCCATTCAAATTAAAAAAAAAACCGCTTCTAAGGGTGGCAAATTGGAGGATTAATCCGGTTTATTAGATTTCATCCACTTTCCGTTAATCGAATTCAATAAAACTTGGCAAACAGATATAATTCCACAAACTTTTGAGGTCGGTTCTTTTTTATAAAAAAAAATATAATTATTATTTAATAATTAATCCTATGTGACTTCGTTAAAACAAATAATAACAATTTGTTTAAATCTGAATTACTTTAGGTAATGTACAAAATATTTTATAACACTTTTCTGTGGTATATTAACCACAACACGCAACGGCGCGGCAACGGTGCGGTCTCAAAGGAGAGGTCTTTAAGTAGTTTATTCAGCGCCAGAACATTAGCACAAATTAACAAAGCTATGAATAAGAAAACAAGTTAATTTATGTTATAATACACACATAAACTTCTTTTTATGAGTACTAAGTAACGAGACGAGGGAATGGTAAACAAAACGCCTACCCGTAATAGTTGTAGGTACCACTAGTGTGCCACTCGTAAACTGAAATCGAAAAGATCTGAGAGACATTGCCACTGCACACGTGACCTTAAGACATAAATTGACAAGTCCCTCAGTAATTTAACCAGCATCCTTACCCCTCAAACCCGGAACGCATTAATGTTCACATTACTGCTTGGCGGTAGAAATATACCAGGACGAACTCTTTCACAAGGAGTTCTACGTACTAAAAATATGTTGGCGGTACTAATATTTATAATTTTTTTTTTTAAAAACCCGGCCTCAAAAGTCCGTGGAATTACGTCTATTTGCCAAGTTTTATTGAAATCGGTTAACGGAAAGTCCGCGAAACCGGATTCATCCCCTAGTTTGCCACCCTTACAGGTGGCATATTTTCTTGAAATTCAAATGGGACCAATACTGAGGTATCTTCTATCCAACAAAAAAAAGAATCATCAAAGTCGGCACGCACATTAACATAATCACGTAATCACGTAACATACACAAAAAAGGGCAGTCGAATTGAGAACCTCCTCCTTTTTTGAAGTCGGTTAAGAAATAAGTTAATTTTAATGACAACATCATTTTCTAAATTACAAAGCATTGTCTTCAAGTTTCAGAGCTTCTGGCTCAAGCCTAGAAAGCATGTTTTAATGACGAATGGTTTTCAAGTTGCAAGGTGTGGTGTGTAGGTCACACATTTGTTCAATACAACAATAACATTCTACTATAATTGTGAATTATCTCTAAGTATGTCAAGTTTTGCGTAACTATAGGTTCTCGTGCTATATTTAGAACTACCTCATTCCCTCCCGTGTGAATAGTAATGTACTTAACTAAGCAGCACGCACGACACTGGTAATGTAAGAAATTCAAAAAGAAGGTTTACACACTGCTTTTAAAGGGCTAGTCCTGCAAGCGCATTTAAAAATTTACTTTCAACTATAAAAATATTGAGTGTTTTTTTATGATTCCAAGTGACGGAACGAATAAGTCGTGCTCCTGGTGGAAAGCGACACGCCTGTCCATAACAGTTGCAGTGCAACTCAGAACTTTAAATCGCAAAAATTTCAGGGGCACTCCCACTGCGCCCGTCACCTTGAGCCGTAAGTTGACAAGTCGCACGAGCCTGTAATTACACCAGGACCCTTACCCTTTAAAACCGGAACACAGTAATGCTGATATTACTGCTTGGCTGCAGAAATAGGTAAGATGGCAGTACTGCCCTGGACGAACCTTTTCACAAGGAGCTCTACTGCTGCTAAAATTTTGTGAGTTGTTGTATGCATGCCTGCAAACCTTATGAAGTATTTGATTCCACTGCTTGGCACTCCTATTAAGGAAATAGTTAAGGCCAGAGCAGATTAAGGGCTGCACCTGTTTACAGTGGCATTGGTATAGCTTTACAAATTTAACATAAAACTCAGTGGCTTAGAAGCCGAATACAAACTAGTGTAGAAACAAGTATGCTCAAAAGCTTACACAATTTTCGATTGAAATTGCCCAAGTTTGTACAAATTTTTCAAGATGGCTTTTTACGTATTTTCATAAACCATGGCCATTTAATTCCTAAATTAATAAGTTATAATAGCGAATTCAAAATATTATTGGAATTAATATCAAACTTCAAATGAAATATTTTACCGCGCCGTGCTAGTAGAATAGTTTTCTTAAAGTACAGTCAGCTGTGGGATTACCTCACAGGAAGTACGTTAAAAACTTGATCTGTAACATCCAGTTCTTAGGTTTTCGCGATTGTTACACATTGAATTTACAGTTACACAGAGAAGAAACTAGTTTTTCGGATCTAAACAAAAGGTTTATATGAAATAATAAATAATACGCGATTTAGATCCGAAAAAAATAGCATTTCCAATTTATCTACAACACTTTGAATATACCGACATCATTTTTAGATACAAACCTAAATAAACTACCTGCAATGTGTAAAATGTATAAAATAATAAGTCATCTATCCAAGTAGAGAAGTTTAGAAGAAAGTACGTTTAACGTAAGTTTAAAAATGTTCTGTTCCTTCATTTCCGAGACGTAATAAAATCAACTCAAGTCACGTAAGTTAAGTATCGTAGATGAGATGATGAAACTCATAGATTACAATTCGCCAATTTGTGACCATTTCGCATATTCAAAATACACAAAACATACAAAGGTCACTGGAATGAGAAATGTTAGTAAACTTAATTGCCTACTCTACATTTCTTGATAACAGTAATATCGCATGTAAAGGTTGGACCTGAATTTGACAATATGCCTTGTTTGATTTACTGGATGAAGCCAGATGAAGTGTATCAAACGTGCTGACTAAAACCCACAGGAAATACTTATTTAGTATGGGTGCAGTTCTGAAACCTGCTGACAAATGTGCGTCGTACTTTTAGAACAAGGTTCACCTCTCTAGTTGGGACGACTTTTGCAGCATGCCTGACTTTTTAATTAATTTTTTATTAAATTCAACTGTATGCCACTTACGATAATAAAGGTCTAAAGTGTAAGGGTGCGTCCAGCAGCTTGATTTTGATTGCCTCTCCCGATCGGAAACTGCTGACATTTCTAATCGGAAGAATATTTGATCTAACTCACAGATTAGAAAGATATAATAGGAGTCAGATTCGTCTCCGCTCAGAAACCTATCTGATTTCGAGACTACCCGATAGATTCGATTCCTATTTGAATCAAAATCAGGACGCAGATCTGGCGAATGCGCCGTGCAGTTAAATGCGCCTCTGCAGGCAATCAAGCATTTCTCGCGCGCGAACGGCACGCAAATATTTGAACGTATTACTATTATATATATGATAACTATTCAATTCATTATTTAGCGTGTTAGTTTGTGATTTAAGATATAAAGTTAACTCAAAATGCACTGTGCAATGCAATAAATAACAAGTTTGAAACAAATTACCTATTTGCTTACTGCATCGAACAAGTGTTTCAGTATTGTGTAAATATTATTTCACAAATTAAAACAAAAATCATTAAAAAATTCGCTTTAAAGGTGTTCTTTACAATTTTAGGTTTCTTCAATTTCGAGACAGCAAAATCAAGCCAAACCACGTAAATTTAACATCGTAAATGAGATGTACGATGAAACTCGTACATTACAACTCAGCTATTTGTCACAATTTCGCATATTAATCAAAGTCAACAATGATCAATTGGAAATGGACCAAACCTCAGATGTTGCCATTTGACATCAACCACTCCTTATTGTGGTAGGCAATGTCAATACTGAACGATCATGAACGACATAATATGTGACTTTGCAAACTTTCTTGACAGATCAACGAAGCGAATCCGTCTGTTAAAGTAGAATTACTGTAATTGTTTGTTGTACTGTGGTCCTGGCGACGTTATAAAAGTTTTAAGACTCACGTGAGTCGATCTTGGCCGATTTTGCCGGGTAGGTTTTGCGTAACACGGTTATCTATATTTCCTTCTTAAAATTTTGTAATTTCTTATCGCGATTTTGACCACTTAATAAGAACTTAGTAAACAGACATATAAACACCGTATTCACTGTTATAACACAAATTCAGATTAAGCACAAAAGAAAAAAAACATAACATGATTATCATAGCAGTGAAACGGCGCTGACTCAGCATAAGCCAAAGTTTCCTGAGGCGCTGGTTTTCAGTCAGGACCAACGAGAGGGATTAAGTTATTTGAAAGCAAAAATATAACGACTATACGTAAAGTTGTACATTGAGAATAATAATATACATAGTAAAGTGT